GTGCGGTGCGGTGCGGTGCGGTGCGCGCCTTCTTTCACTTTGCACGCACACTCCTAATCTGCCGTTCGTCCGCACTTTTGTCCCCCCACAATCGAGCGAGAAAGTAGCGCGCTCTGGCTGGTTGGCTGCATGCTTGTCTTCCAGATGACCCGCCAAATCTCCACACTCGCAATGGCGAATACGACTGCCGACCACAATCACAAACCTGCTTCAGCGAATTTTTCAGCCAACTCTTCTTTCTCACCTCCACCCACCACATCGCCTCGCTGTCAGACCCCTGATCACAGCATCACGAGCTTCGCCTCGATAGTCCCGCTTTCACGTTACACCCGCCACATCCAATCATGACGTCCGCAGCCTCGACTCAAACACCCCAGCAGGTGGCACAGCTGGAGTACACTCCCATCGACACCATCGCCGGTATCAATGCAGAGCTCCGCAAGAACTTTCTCACTGGCAAGACGAGAAGCTTGGAGTACCGCAAAGCTCAGCTGAAGCAGCTCTACTTCTTGCTCAATGTAAGTAGTTGCTCGGGTAGGAGTGTCCTGCCGCTGAACAGTGACTTGACACTGTTCGCACGCATTCATGCTGCCTTGTATGTCGCCTAATGTTCGTCCTGCACATCACTTTACCATCAGGACAATGCAGAGGAGATTGCCAAGGCTATCAACAAGGATCTCGGACGTGCCAGCTTCGAGACCAACATGGCCGAGATTCTCGGCACCAGCAACGAGATCGTCGAGGCTGTACACAATGTTGGCAAGTGGTCAAAGACCGAGAAGCCTTGGTCTGGCGTCGCTTGGGCGTTCCACTCTCCTTCCATCCGCAAGGAGCCAAAGGGCACCGTTCTTGTTCTCGGAGCCTGGAACTACCCCGTTTCGGTGCAGATCGGTCCCGTGATTGGCGCTCTCGCTGCTGGATGCACGGTTGTCCTTAAGCCTTCCGAAGTGGCACCACACTCTGCCAAGCTCTTTGCTGAGCTCTGGCCCAAGTACCTCGACCCCGAGAGCTCGCGCATCGTCAATGGCGCAATCCCAGAGACGACGGCCTTGCTTGATAGCCGATGGGAGCACATCTTCTACACTGGTAACGGAACAGTTGGTCGCATCGTCGCCGAGAAGGCTGCCAAGTGGCTCTGCCCTACCACTCTGGAGCTCGGTGGAAAGTCCCCTGTTTGGATCGACGACTCTGCTGACCTCAAGATCGCAGCTCACCGTGTTCTTTGGGGCAAGGCTGTTAACGCTGGACAAACCTGCATTGCTCCTGACTACATTCTCTGCACCAAAGCCACCCAAGACAAGCTGGCCGTCCAATTCCAGAAGGCTGCTGAGGAGTTCTGGCCCAAGAGCAAGGGAGGTGTCATCAAGAGTGATGATTACGGCCGTGTGATCAACGTTGGTCACTGGAAACGCCTGAACCAGATGGTCGGCGGCACCAAGGGACGCATTGTGCTTGGTGGCGAGGGCGACGAGTCCAGCAAGTTCTTCGCACCTACTATTGTGGCTGACTGCAAGTCGGACGACCCCCTCATGTCTGGAGAGATCTTCGGCCCTGTGCTTCCCATCCTCCCTGTGGCGAATCTCGACGAGGCAATCCGCTTCATCAACTCCCGCGACCAGCCCTTGGCCCTGTACACCTTCGGAGGTGCCAAATCGACTAAGAAGCTGTTCGAGGAGACGCGCTCGGGCGCAGCTGTCCAGGGTGACACCCTTCTGCACTTTGCCGTCGGAACACTGCCTTTCGGCGGCACTGGTCCTTCCGGCTACGGAATGTACCACGGCAAGGGCAACTTTGACACCTTCACCCACACCAGAGCAAGCTTGGACGCTCCCTCGTCTGGCGTCCTCGGCAAGGTCGTCGAGGCCATCATGGCTATGCGCTACCCTCCTTACACCTCCGCCAACCTCACCAAATTCAAGCTGGCAACGCAACTCAGCGCTGGCTTCGGTCGCCCAAAGAACCCTCACGCTAGTGTGACCCAGAAGGTAAGTCCTCGGGAGGTGTGATGCCGTGTAGCAAGTCGGAAGTGCGCCGCATTTGGTCGAACCTTGTTTCTCTTTCAATCACAAGCGCGCCAGTACCGAGTGCTGAGCTGCGTCCTTTCTTCGTTCTTCTTTTTGCTCTCTTGCTCTTTCGCTCACTTGCTCGCTCGTCGGCCGATGAATCGCTTTCGCCCGCCTAATTCGGCGCTCACTGCCACTGCCCTCCCTCCCATCTCGCTCCGGACCAAGAGTCCAGCAGTCTAGGCTCTAAGCTCGGATTGATCGTTCTCGTACTCGCTATCGTCTTTGGCGCCCGACAACGAGGACTCATTGGATCGCATTGACCTCTATCGCTGCTCCATCTCACATTGCTTCCAGACCAAGCTGCTCGTCGCTTCTTTCACTTAAACCTTCATTCCAATGAAAGGTGGCATTGAACTGGTTGCGAGATCTTCTTCGTATGTAACGCCCTCTACTCGATTACTGCTTGCACTCCTTCTTAGCTGCACCCCGCGACCGACGCGTTCACGAAATGCCTCGAGGCGTAAAATTGTTCAACGTTTGATACAAAAGACTGTGTGACCGTCACTCAGCGACACAAAAGTGAAGATGAAACATAAAAGCAAGTGAAGCGAAGCATGGATACGAAGCGGGTGCAGTCAAAGGTGCGACAGCGAATACAAGTCGAGTTGCGGGAGTTTCTTGGCAGCGAGCAGAGCGGTGATTGGATTTCAGGTTAGATCCGTTTCGATCATTCCAACCTGCGCCTTTTGACATCCATGTTCTGCGTTGTGGCACAGACCAGAGGGACGGTCAGGTCAGCGCAGGTTCAGGAGAGCGTGGTGAAGGTGAACACAAGAACAGCGATGACTATTGAATTTGGTCCATCTCCCCGCCCTCCACTCACCTTCGAGTCCTTCTTGCCTTTGTGATAAGCGTTCTTGTCGCGTCTAACACGACATCACAAGGCTGTCAGCGTGGGGGGGACAGATCCAGAATGTGCTGCCAGATATCGCTCACTTTCGATCTTTGAATTTTCGCGCCATGCCGAGCTTTACCTTGTGCGTCTTGATGTACTGTTCGGCTATAGACTCGGCATTCTGATGAAAGTAAAAAAAGAAAGGAGAGCGTGAAGTCAGGCGCGATCGCTTTTGACATGGGCCACCGCGAGGTCCAGACTACGGGACTCACTTTTCGGAAGACGACCAACTTTGGTTGCATGATCAAAGCGTTGCCCAACGTCAGGATGAAAGGTGGGGGCATCCATCATGAGCACGACTCTCACCTGGTTATGCGATTTCCACTGCGCGTCTTTGACGTCTTCTTGACCATGCTCCTTCTCTAGCGCCTCAATGGGTGTCGACACGCTTGCCGAAGGCTCAGCTTTTGTCTCGGCTTTGACTTGCGGCATCTGGCCGGTTTGAATGTACTGCTCCAGATCCTGATCCGCGTCTTCCCCTTCGTGCTCAAAGTCGAGCTGCATCGTTTATTTGCGCGGGGCGTGGTGGTCAGCGTGGAACCTGATGAACTGGAGAAAGTGTGCACATTCGCTCACTTGGGCTTCTGGTGCATCTCCCTCATCACTCGAGTCAGAGTCCTCTGCGTGTACTTCCCCATCTAGATCTTCCTCCTTCGCTGCTAAGCCATGTACTGGACGTGGCTCAGTCAGATCGATGACGTCCAGTTCCTCCTTCACGCGAATGTTGTTATCATAGGTGCCAGGCGCCTTGCCTTTGCGCATCTCCACAAAGACTACTTCTTCTTCTTCTTCCACTTCCTCCTCATCTTCAATCTTGGCCTTTTTATCACCAGCCTCTAATCTTTCCACTTCTTTCCGCCGCGCCTTCTCTTCTTCCTTGATGCGCTTGCAACGTTCCGCTTTCTCGTGCGCAATGGCCGCTTTTTCTTCCGCCTCCTTCTCATCCTCAGCCATGTCGTACAAGCCGTTGGCGATGCCGGTGAGGTATGAATTCTTTGCTAGCGCACCTTTGAAAGCGTCTTTCGCTCCGTAGCACCAAACCTGAGCCTGATTGAAGCACATTTCGAAAGCCATTGCGCTCGCTGAAGAATTGGTTGCCAGACCGTAAAATGTCCACTGCATGCGATCTTGCTCCCCTCTGCACTTGTTGTAGCGGTCGCTATAGCACTTGCAATCGAAAAAGACGGTCATGGCAATGCTCATCGTGCTCATCCATAACTCCCTATTGACGCCCTTGCCGCTGGTTGCGGTGACCCAAACGGTGCTCTGACCCGCTCTGCTCAGATCGGATTCTCCTTCCGCATCTTGACTGGCCAGTAGGTCGCTTTGAAGGATATTGAACCTGTTCATGAGCCTGTTGCTCATGCTCATCGCCTGCTTCGCCTCCGCCTCTCCCGTATTGGGGTGTTGAGCGAGAGAGAGAGCTTTTTTGATCTTAGCCAGCACACCTTGGTCGATGGTAGAGGCACGTGCTTGAGCGTCGGACGAAGAGCTGGCGCTGCCTGTGTCCGCTAGGGCGTGCACTCGAGCTCGATAGGGAACTTTTGGGCTCGCAGCCGCAGACGCAGACGTAGACTTTCCGCTCGCACGCCGCCGTCGTGGCTTGGGCTTGGGCTTGTCACCCTCGTCTTGAACATACTCCGAATCTGAAGCCGACGTACCGCCAGATCCCGAATCGGATGCCTCGTCGCTATCCTCGTCGTACAGTCCGATGTCGTAGTAGTCATCTTCCTCCTCCTCTTCTTCCTCCTCCACCTTTGCTTGCCTTTTCACCATGCTGATTAACACACTTGCTGCTGCGGAATGACAGTCCCCCCGATCATCTGCACCACTCCAAGCTCGGTGAAACGCCTGCGGAGCGATGGGAGAGGTTGGAAAGAGGATGCGCACCTACAGCATGGACCTATGCGGCTGTGCTGCAGTCGAATCCTTGCAAGCGCATATCTCTACGCGCACGCAGGCGAATCTTGAAATGGTGCGCCTATCTTGAATGTTGATTGAATCACAAGTTGAATTCAATCTCAAAGCCCTCTCACGAACACTCTTTGACTCAATTTAACTCACGGAATCACACGCGTCACGTGTATGATGAACGCGTCGGTTGAACAACCAACCATGCAGAAACCAAGACTGTGTGACTAAAACTGAAGCTCACCCATGCATACAAGCTTCTCGTTGCATGTCGCTCTTGCAATCTTGAATCTCTCACCTTCCAGGCCTCATCACTCACGACTGTCAAGCTTCCGCGCTCATCACAGCATCCGCACCTGCTGGGTGTCCCGCGCGCTGCGTTGCCGCCACAATGTCCACCGCAGCACCCGAGGGAAGCTCTCGTCATGCAGGCACAGCTGTTGGCAGCAACCCGCTCCGATCGCCGACGCGAACAGCAGCTACACGCAGTTCAGCAGCTCGTCAATCGACAGGCGGACGCTCGAGTGCGGGCGCAGTGAATGTGGGCAGTGCAGTTTCCAGCCCTTCTCTGCATTCCAGACAGCGACAGAGCTTGTTTGGAGAGAGCGATAGGGTGGTGCTGGATATCGGCTTGTCCGTCGCTAAGTACGGCTTTGAAGACGAATCCAGACCCCGCGGCTTGCTCAGGACATCGCAGTACAGCCTATGGACTCCAGACTTTTGGAAAGGATGCAAAGACGAGAGGGCGAGAAGGAGCAGAGAGTTGGACTTGCTGGTCAACGTCACCAAGCTCCTGAGAGTCATCTTTTACGACCTACTGCTCATCGATCCACGAGGCAGGAGGATCGTTCTGGTGGAGAATGCCCTCTTGCCTGATTATGCTGCTCGCGCGCTGTGCAAAGTGCTGTTCAGCAATCTTCAAGTCGCGAATGTCGCCCTTTTGCCCGCTCCGCTCATCAGCTTGCTGGCAGTCGGTCGCATGACAGGTCTGGTGCTGGACGTGGGCACGCACCATAGCCGACTCACTACAGTGTACTACGGTCGATTGTTGTCATCCAGACCAGACATACTCGTCACGCGGCGAGGCTCTGTAAGGCTGAAAGCGAGGCTAAAGAACTTGCTAGTGTACTTTGGAAGGTATGTTGCCGCCACGCCAAGCACCGCCAGCAGGAAGCAGCGGACGTCAAAGATCAGGGCAGAGTTGCTCGATGACGCCTTCTTGGATGACATCATCGCCAAGGCGATCTTTGTTGCGCAGAAGCCTATTGAGGACGTCGAGGAGCAGCGCCGCAGTGAGACCGCAGATGTGGACACTTCGGACCAAGCCAGGCCCGCCGCAGCTACTCCCACGCCGTCCACATTTGGTCTCACGCCGACGTCTGGCCCTCAAGCATCCTCGTCGGCTCTGGACATTGAAGGCAGAGCTTACGATGAGAGCAAAGACGAGGCGCTGATGCGTCAGCTGCAATCTCGCTACGCACACACATCCAAAGCAAGCTCGCTCATCCTGCCCGTGCCTTCTCGCGAATCGTCCGACCCTCACGCGCCAGTCTTGCAGAACAGCACGGCGAGCTCTGCCTCGCAGCAACAACACAGCCAGGCCAGTGGAGTCATTGTCGTGCCCAATTGGATCAGAGAGCGCGCAGTGGACGTCCTCTTTGAGCCTGGTGATGACGACGAGAAGAGTTTACCCGAATTGATTTGTGATGCTTTGATTAATGTGAGTTCATCTGGGCCGTGTGTTGGCTGTTTGTAGAGTCGAGCGCTAATGATGAGCCCTCAAACCTCTTTGCTCCCATTCGATAGCTGCCCATCGACATGCGGATACCGCTCGCGAAGCAAATGCTGGTCACTGGTGGCGTTGCTACCATGGCTGGCTTTGCACACAGGCTCAAGGAAGAAGTGACGCGTCTGCTGGACAATTGCACCATCGATCAGCCTCACTCCGTCGCACTCACAGTGCCTCGCGTTGGAGCATGGCCCGGCAGATCCGAACAGAGCGCTCGCAAGGCATCTCGAGCCTTAGCTGACAAGGACCTCAATAAGGCTCAAGTCGGCGCAGCAGGGACGGATGATCGAGACACTCGAGGAAAGGATACCACGGAGCGCAAAGCCCCACCGAGGGAAATCATGCGATACGCTCCTATAGCTCATTTGTGGCAACACGTCTCGCTGATGAACGACCACATGCCCTACATTCATTCCAACGGTCAAGCACAAGGTGGGGATGCCCCAGCATTCGCCCCTAATGTCGTCGCTTGGGTAGGCGCCAGCTTAGCAGGTAGCATTCGCACCACCTCCCTCTCCGAAAGGACGAAGGAGGCGTGGGAGGAAGCCGAAGCGCAGGAGAGGGAAAGGCTGAACAGGTTGGGCGCGAACGAAGATGCGGCTGGTGCTAGACCATTGTTTGGATCGGGAAGGGGAAGCTTCGTCGGTGTAGTCGGCGGCATTCATACTGGCGCTTGGGGCGCGCTCTCAGCGCACCTCAGAGCCGGTCCCAGATCACCCGCTCCCAATCCCACCGCCAGGTAGCCCTGCGCGTGCGCCTCTCTCCATCAATCTACATACCCTCATCACACACACTCAAAAGCTGGTCGCTTTGGTGGAGCGATTTTTGCATCATAGGCACGTGCTGAGCATTGCATTTGGTGACTTGTGCGTGAAGCAGCTGTTCGGGCGTGTCGATCATTGCGGTATCGAGAAGCATCCTCAAATAGTCCATAGTCGCGCCTCACCATCCGCGCCGGCAGTGGCGAGCCATGGTTGCGTGGGATGCCACTTTGCGTCGAGAATGCCCAGACCTGCCGAGACGCTGTGTCCTCTGAGCACCTTGAGCGGAACGAGCAAAGGAGCAGTGGTCAGATCGTTGTAGACTGTTCCGTGCAGCACGTGAGCCGTGCCATCGTCGCTGACGCTCGTAAACAGCGGGTAGCTATGGTGGAAGGCGACTGCTCGAAGAGCTCGAGAGTGATAACGCAAAGTCTTGTATGGTCGCGTAGACAGCTCCATGTCGAACCATACGAGACGTCTATCGTAGGAGCCGATGATGAGATGCTCGCCGCGAGGGTGCACGTCCATGCTGCTAATGTATTTGACACCAGGTTGCAGCGTCTTTGTCAGTGCCTGAGCAGCCAGATCGTACACTCTGATCAATCTCTGAGTAGCGACGAAGAGGTGTGGCCTTAGGGGATGGAAGACGACCTTCTGTACGGAGCTTCCCTTGCCAGCCCTCGCGAAAGGCGCTTGCGTCCTCTGCCTGGATATTTGGTGGATGAGGACCGACGACGAGCCGGCATCGGACGCTACAGTAGCCAGATAGTCTCCCTTGGCGTGCCATGCAAGCGCTTTTGGAGTCCCACCGACCTCGATCAATGCAGCCACTCCAATGGCTCTTTGACCATCCGTTGGGCGAGTCCACTTGGCAGCTGGTGCCTTGGTTCCGGCAGGTGGATTCGAAGCTTCAGCTGGCTGATAACCAGCAGTTGCGTACAGGAATGAAGGCGTTTGTGTCGCTGCATGGCCTGGCGTGCACTGCGGCGGTGCGACGAGCAGTACTCTCCCAGTGCTACAAGCAGGGAGTGGGCTGTATGATAAGCGAGCAGATTTGGGAAACAGAGACATCCGCGGCTACATACCTGGCGGCTGCAAAAAATGAGTAGCTCTTGTTGGGGCACCAATCGAGGCCATAGACGGGCGCTCGATCTGCTGCTGGGGCGCCGGCCCATACGTCCCACACAGCGGCACACCTACCAATGGCGGTGTCCCACAGCCTGACTCTACCGTCCTCCGCTCCAGTGATGAGCCATTGCCCTCGCGGGTCGAACGCAAGACACCTTACCCTGATCCCGCCGGGATGAGGATAGACGAGGGATGTAACAGTCGGAAATGGCCTCAGTTCTCTGGGAGCTGGGAGTTTGGGTATCAGAGATTCGGCATCCTTAATGTCCAGCTTGGCTCTGCGCATACGTGGAGCCATGTAGAGATCAAGACAACGCTCGAAGCGCTCTTTGAGGCCGTCTTTGTACCCAGGAATGAGGCGGAACGATCCATACTTCGCGGGCATGAAAGTCAATTTTCGATCTTCTGGTTCGGCGTCTTCCCACTCTTTGCGCTCCTGCTCGGAGAACAAGTACTCCGCTGGAGGATTGTACGACTCTGCATGGGTTGGCAAGGCTTGTCTGGGAGCTGGCATGTGCATAGGATGATCGGCACGAGGCTCGTCCGAATCGTTCCAGATGTTGTAGAACTCGGGCTTGACCTCTGGAGGCGCGCGGGGAGTGATCCTGCCCTGTCGAATCGCTCGGACAATCTTCATCACCTGTGAGATGCATACATGTGACTGATGAGCTCTAGTCCCTCCCGAGCCGTCTCGACATTCCTGCTTACCTTCTTGTGCTCCCATTTGCTCGGTACGAACCGGCTCTTGGGCTCTGGCCTGTTGGTGAGTGGCGTGTCCAATTGCTTGCCTGGTCCCGTGTACCATGGCTGGTAGTCGGCGTACTGGTCGTACGCAGCGTCCGGAATTTCGCCTTGCTGTAACCTGCGAATGATGTCGAGCTCCTCGTCGCTCAACTTGACGTTCTTTCCTGTCAAGCGATCTTCTGCACTCATCCAACTGTCAGGATCTTCTTGTGTAGCCAAAAAGCGATCGAGCTCGTCACCCTGTGCTGGTCGCATGACTTTCTTGCCATTGACATCGTAGCCAATGTGCGGCATGTCATCGTACCATTCAATCGGCACGTTGCCAATTCTGTTTGGTGCATCCTCTGTGCTATCGTCGGAATCGTAATCCGCCTCGATCTTTGGATATACGCGTTTGGGCTGTCCGGTCACTGCGCTAATCCTAATTTCGCCTCGCGCACTTCCATCCGCGTTCTGATTTTTGCGGAAGATAGAAGGGGCAGCCTCCGACTCGGTCTGCCCCAGCGAATTGTAGGTAGGTGCGGTCTCGTCAGGCTTGAACGTGTGCCTAGCGACCATGTCGTCCAGATTCCGCTGTACCTCCGAGTCTGATGCTGATGCCTCTGCCAGCTCATCCGCCAGAGCTACAAGTAGGGTACAGCGCTAGGATGAGCTTTTCGATGTTCAAGGCCAAGCGCTCCGTCGCAAGACATGCATGGGTGCACTCACCATCCTCCTCATCCTCGTCCCAATTGTCGACTTCTTCGCTATCAAAGCCCTCTTCGGACTCTGCCTCCGAGCCATCAACTACATCTGCATCACTTCTTTCATCATTCTCATCTTCATTGCTACCTTCTCCCGTAACATCTTCGACCTCGCTAAGCTCGGGGTCGATCTCTGGGAAAGCGTCTACGCCTTGATCATCCTCTTCTAGGTCTTCTTCAACATCCTCGTCATCGAGATCCAGCGCGAGCTCTTTCTCCGCTTGCCTCGGCCTGCTCGCCGCTGACGCCTTCTGTTCAAGAGGCAGACTGACTGATGATTCGCCGTCATTCTTCGTCGAGGCAGCTACATCACCGCCTCTGTGATCGCGCTTGCGACCCGCTGACCGCCCTGAGCTAGCAGCCAAGCTGGCAACAGGCGCCATGGTGCCTTGGCGACCCTGATTGCGCCCCTTGAAAACGTTTCTGCTCTTCCGTGCCGCGACGAGCCTGACGACGTTGCAGTGATAGGGTGGGAGCAGTAGAAGTGAGGCAGGG